AAAAAATCAGACCAATCTCAGAATGGAACCTTGAACATCCACATAAGACATAAAGCGAGAAATCTACAACAAAGCGGCAGCCTGCAGGCTCTGAGAACCAAGATTAGAGCCACGAACTAAATAAGTTACAGATAGCAAGCATACATGGAGACTTTCGGGGTTTCCAGAAATCTTGACCTATACCAAAAGTGGGTATTGTTCTACCTATAGGAGAAGTTTGGTTTCATTGGTGTGTATATTTGTTTGGTTATGGAGAAAACTCTCCTTGTCTTTTAAAGAAACTGAACAAGGGGCAAAAACTTAATCTGCAATTTTTTCTCAAACAGCATTTTTCTGGATAGTCCCTTTATGCTTAAAAGCGACCATTTATTGTTCCAAGCAGCCAAACAAAAAAGTACCATACAAATTCAGATCTGATTCTGCAGACAGCCCGTGATCAGACCATAACGGAGAGTTGTCCGTAGCACTCACGGACTACATTTCAATTTAAGAATAGAAAGTTCCAAGAGCATGTCAGACTGAGAAGTCTGACACTCGATCACAAAAGACCTCAGTCAAACGGTGTGTCTTCCATTTATTAGTTTTAGTATAACTGAAATTATAAAAAAACAAAGAAATGCCCAAACTCTCCCATGCATACAAACCCAGCCAGTAACATCAGATTGAGTAACACCTCGCTCTCATCCTGTCTCACTGGGCATACTAATTGTCAACAGAAAATAGGATTATCAAGTTGCAACATGGAAAAGCGGTACTGATTAACACACTTCCTGTGTGCTAATCCACGAGAAAATATGGTTCCAGACACACTGTTTGACCCCAATCTATCAACATTTAATCCCATTCAACCACACAGGGAATCTGTTTGCCATCAACAGCAAAGCTATCAAATAATTCAATACAGTGGAACTTGGATTCAACAAGTTGTGTTGCTATGTAGAGCCTAGCATACGGCAACTTTTGATTCTATAGACCCCCCCTCAACACACAGTCACACGTGTGCAGGCCGCACATCCGACCCCGACATAACTGGAGTAGACACGTGCGTGTGCCAACAACGCGTGTGGTGGAACGGTAGAACTCGGATTAAACGACAGGAAATGCACTCCGTTTTTTTTCTTCTTTACAATCAATAAAAATAACCCGGATTTAACGAGCGCTTATATCAGCAAGCTCAGATTCAATGAGGTCGCTTCCAGGGTGAACAGCCCCCACAGACGTGGCTTCGCTCATTCTTTTCCAAAAAAGAACTTTATCTCTTCCCGGAAACCATCCACTGCACCTGTATTGTGAATCATTATTCACTTAGCCGATTGCATGCGACCAATCAGTTGTTCCAAAGATTAGAGGTGTTAGAGAGAGTAACAAACACAAAAAGAAGGAGGAGAGATAAGGACGATAGATGCTTGACAGGAAAGAAGGAGAGAAAAACCACACCAGAGCCCCTGCCACCCACCCAGGGTGAGATGTCTACAAACCTGCCACTCTATGAAATCTAAAAATCAGGATTTTAGAGTAAAAAAATCAGGATCTGGTGAAAAAAAAATCGGGATCAACGGCAAATCAGTGATAAGGGGCGCTGGGGAGGGGGGGGGGGCATGGTTCCCTTTCATGGGGCAAGTATGCAAGACAAAACTTTTGAAGGAATAATTTCACGTTTGGGCCTCTAAATAGAGAGAAAACTGAAAGACAGCATAATATGTACTCGAGTCGGAGTTGGATAAACTGGGGGAGCGCAGGTTGCAGTAATGCTGAAACTCTCGTAGTCTTGAAAACAGATAGCACATAACTCTAATCATCCATGCAAAAAGCATGCGTTGTCATACAGTAACAACGTTCGACTTCCATCGCATATTCACTCAAGGCACCTCCCCCACCCCTGCCCCGAAAAAAAAAATCTCGCCAAGGTTATTTATTTATTTTTTGATATTCCTTTCCCCTCAATTAGCACCTGTATCACGGCACACACTTTAAGCCCAAGTGAACCCCCCCCCCCCCCCGGTTAAGTCCCCAAAATACCTCGACCAATGCGAATGAACTTTGTTGACCTCGACAGCCAACGGTCCCCGACACACGCACTACTCACACGTACGAGGTCAGGTCACGTGATGCGAATGAGCGTTTGAAAGTTTCACTGACATGTTTTGATGATGGGCCCGAATAACCAGCACCCAGACAAAGCTTGCTTTTATTACTTTTAAAGCAACGGCTGAACAACGAATAGCTTATTTTTAGGCCCATGTCATAATTGTTACTGTAATCAAGGCACCATCGGAGAATTCTGGGTTTTAAAAGCGAAAGTAGATCTTGAGCGTATCCAAGTCGGAATTCAAAATTGATACTACGTCGATTTTAGTAAAAAATACCGTGGGTGAGTCTACTAGATTCGGTATAGATATCTAGATGCTTTAGAAAATAGCGTTCCAAGTTCCTGCCGATAAAAAATCCAATCGGTGCGTCCAAGCAAAAGAGACTGCAAAACTTTATATTTTGTTCTAAGAATCGGATGCAACAGACGCAACGAAAAAAATAAGGATACTGGCGATCGAAATCGGGAAAATCGGGATGCTTGAGATTTGGGGCAAAAAATCGGGATATCCCGATTAAATCGGGATGAGTGGCAGGTCTGTGTCTATCGAGCTTACCTCTTCAAAGTTGTCGTCCCACTTCTGGCCAGTAATTACATAGTTCACTCTCTTGCTCATGTAATCATCCACTTCCCTGGAGAAGAGAGAATTTTTGTTTTAGTAAAAGTTTTACAGCGCTCGCAACTGCATAAGGTCATATGAGTACCAAAGTGTGGATGTCAACAGAGAAGTCCTTACAGGGAATCAGATTTACTCTGCTTACCTCTCTAGCTTCACCAGCACAAAGTCTGCTTCAAATATCAAGGCACCCCGGAAATAGCAGGTCACGAGAGTGTGACAAACATACAAAAGAAGTAGAGGAAAATGACAATAGTAAGGATCAGGAAAGAAAAAGCAGCAGTTCCCTCTTGTAGACCAGGCACAGTTATGAGCGTGACATGAGTCAGCCCATTTACAATTCTACTATGCTTGAACGAGAAATGTCCCCCCTTTGGGAATGACCTAAAAACACTTCAGTCAGTGGCACTGCTCCGGGGGGTGTAGCAGAGGTTTTACGGCACTCTTGTTCTTGTTTCAGGAAGCAACATCCCTGCACTCCGGACATGTCCATTGATGCTCTGTTGCTCTCTCCAAAATGTTGCCGAGGGTCCCTCTACTGATTGTGCCAGTGCACATCTGGTTGAACGTTCTTCTGTTCTTTCCCGCAAGGATGCCAGATTTTCCGCTTCCTTTTTTTATTCCCAAAAGCATCATCCTCTCCACGGCAGTACTGGCCTCTGCCTCCCTATCCTCCTCCTCAATCAGTTGGCGAGAAAGACATTTCAGGATCTCGACCCTATCTGGTTGAACCGTATTGTCAACTAAGGTGGCCTCACCAGCCAATCTGTCGGCTTTTTCATTTCCCCTAACACCTGCATGGCCAGGGCAGAAAATCCATGTGAGCGATCGTATAGGCGTTGGTTCGATAGCCTGAATCCATTCCGTTCTCAGGAAACCTTTTTTGATCCTTCTGAGGGTACACATGGAATCAGTGATAAGAACAGCATGCAACTGATTTTGACATATATATATATATATATATAGAAGTATTTTCCTATTACATGTAGACTACGTTTATAGACGTATTTTCCTACTACATGTAGACGACGTATAATGGAGTATTTTTCTACTAGATGTGTTCCTCCACTTTCAGGCAGCCATATATGACATTCTCGAAAGTATCAATCATTCCTTTTATTTATACATACCAGAGTTTCTTCTGTTTTATTTTTGTTTTAGTAAGAGTTTTACAGCACTTGCAACACAATAAGGTCATATATAAGTGCCGAAGATTAAGAGAGTAATAAACACAACAACCTGCAGACATCAAGAAAAGTTTTAGTGAGAGTTTTACGGCACTTGCAACACAATAAGGTCATGTAAGACATCAAGAACAGTTTTAGTAAGAGTTTTACGGCACTTGCAACACAATAAGGTCATTTAAGACATCAAGAACAGTACCCCCTAAAGTCCACCAAAGACAGAGCATACCCGTTATAAGCTGCGATATATCTGGTCAACAGTCTCTGCTCCCCTGACGG